TTATCTTAGACTTAGTCATACCAGGAAGTAGGTATGGCGTCAGCAGGAAAGATACTGAAGCAATTTGAAGAACATTTGGTTTGTCAGATATGTTTGGAGAGATTCAAGAACGCAAGAGTGTTACCATGTCAACACCTTTTCTGTGAGGAATGTTTAATTAAGCTACTTGGCACGAACCGGAAAGTGAACTGCCCTACTTGCAGAGCAACTGTTCACCTGTCAGGCGAAATTACAACCTTACCTCGGAGTCTTCATGTCAACACTTTTTCGGAAATATTGGAATCTCGCGATCAAGATGATTCAGAAGGAGTGTTATGTGATGGATGTGAGGAATATACTACAACATTGAGGTGTGTAGAATGTGCGATGTATCTATGTGATATTTGTGGTAAAACGCACAAGAAAATAAGATCGACAAAAAATCATACGCTGATGACCTTTGACCTGTATCAAGCGGAACTAATCAATGACCCCCATTTTGATAAGCGGACTCTGTTGTGCAATTCACATGAAGGAATCCGTCTGAAATTCTACTGTAAGAGTTGTAAAGTACCAATATGTTCAGAATGTGCGATGTTTGAACACAAAGATCATACATGCACCTCCATGCAAGAAGCCAGGAAGGAAGTGGTGACAGAGATGCATGTATGGAAAAGAAAACTAGTTTTGATGGTGACATTCTTGGAAGGGGAGACACGAAAATTGCAAAACACAATGGGGATCATCACAAAGAATATTGAATTTCAGGAGAAAAAGATACAATTGCACAGTAAGAAGTTGTTGCAGAAATTAAGAGACAAGATGAAACTGATCGAAGAACAAATAGAAAAAGATTCTCAACAGAAAATCAACATCTTACGAGATGAGCGTGAATCGAAACAAGAAATGTTACAGAGTAAATGTGAAGAAATATCCTCAAGAAATGAGCAGGTTTCTGCTGTGATGGCTTCCTTGGATAAGTCTATTCAGAGTGAAGATCCATGTACATTGATACTCACCAAGGATGCATTGCTGGGGAGAGTTAAAATGATTCTTGATCAGGCTGATAATGGAACTGTGGAAGAACTTGAACTGCCAGAGTTTGACTGCAAAGACACATTTGATACTGCTATAATGTTTGATGATATATCTATTGGAGAAATAAACGCCATCAAAGTACAGATATCTGAAAATTCTGACCAAATGTATAATTCTGCATTTTCCAGTAAAAAAGAAAACATTCAAAGTGCTGCATCGCCAAGTTATGAGGCTGCATCACCAAGCTATGAGGCTGCATTGCCAAGTTATGAGGCTGCATCACCAAGCTATGAGGCTGCATCACCAAGTTATGAGGCTGCATCACCAAGCTATGAGGCTGCATCACCAAGCTATGAGGCTGCATCACCAAGTTATGAGGCTGCATCACCAAGCTATGAGGCTGCATCACCAAGCTATGAGGCTGCATCACCAAGCTATGAGGCTGCATCGCCAAGTTATGAGGCTGCATCACC